GATGGTTAACGACAATACAAGAATATAAACAACATAATGACAGTGGTTACATGTCTTCGTTGTAATGTGCTTCTCAAGATTGTGAGTCATGTGTTGATTGTCTGGAATTCTTAATTACTGATTCAACTTATGGACATTTCCTGAACCAAAGTATGCAAACATTTATTGTAAAAAAGCCTCACTAAAGGTTGTAGAATAATGTCCTAACAATAAAGGCAGGATGTAATTTTAAACATTTGATTTTTTTTTTTTAAATGTGTAACTCAAAATTTAATTTGATTATTAAGAGATGTATATGTTTCATTATTTTTCTGTTTCTATCTACAATACAATATCCAATAGCTGTAACATGTGTAGTGTAGGTAATATAACAGACGTTTTCACCATCTGTTTTCCATTCTTCTCAAAAACTGAATGTTAGCAAATCTTTCTTTTTGGTTTTGTTTGGTTTTCTTCAAAATATTAAACCTGACTAATTTTGACTGTCCAGTGAATCTTTAGCAAACTATTGCGGAACCACATTTTTTAGGCCTCTAAGGAACATGTGTTGTTTTTGCTTGTCCAGGTTTTACAACCATTTTAAAATGGTAACACAAGAGAATTCCTTTTCTAACTTTTAATAATTAGGGACACATTTTCCAGCGGATGTTAAACATGTGTGTAGATAATGGATGTCTGTACTTGTAGAGTCAAATTACATACAAACGGGTTGTAGGTGAGAGGGAACCATTACTGTTCTTCTCTTGTAAAACAATTTACTTAAATTATTTTAAAAGAATATTTAGAAGAAGGAAAAAAAAAACACTGAGTGAAATATCACGTTATCTTAAGTTATAAAGCAAAAAATGCTCACTTTAATCAAAAAACAAAACAACTATAATCCAGTATGACCAAATTTACAAGGTAATGAGTGATGCTGTGCTATCAGTTCGTTGTTTCAAATGACTACACACGCATTGTACTTCATAACTTTGCAGTTGCAGCATTAGTTACAAACCCTTTATCACAAGAATGTGTCTGCAGGTGCAACCAGAGATGTGATCACAAACAAAGATTAAAAAAAAAAAAAAAAAGTACTTTACAGTTTCTCCAGTCTTTTACCACACTAACTAGTCAGAAGACTGTGGCAGGCAAAACTTGCTTGTAGATACCAAACTTCACGAGACTGGGGACAGGCAGTTCTTGCCATACTTTTTGATTGCCTGGTCCAAACATTGGCTGTTGGTATCAAGCATAAAGCTTCACACAATTCTATAACTGCTTCTTATATGTAAAACTAACTTTGTTATCATTATGTACCATGCTAAGCAGTATCGCTTACCCCTCCCCCGTTCCTGGTAAGCTCCACTATTGATCTAAGCATTTTATAAATAACTTTATACTTCACATGATTGCATATTGACACAGATGCAAATATGGGACAATATATGTAAAAGATGTGAGCTCATAAATTGAAACACATCGGTGGGAAAGGAGGGTCATCATTATTCACGCCAGTTTGTCAGACATGTGACTTGTACTGTTTGGAAGATTTCAATATTTTAACTATGTGGAGACAATCTACTATACAAGTCCACAAATGACCAGAAATTGTGACACTTAACAACCAGAACTACACAGGCAGGCACATCTGCGTGTTGTTTATCGTGCCCCTTCCCTCCCCTCCCCAGGTCTGCCACCTGAAGGTTTCAACACCCTGAGATTACAAAGTCTCAGTCTGGATGCTAGACCAACAGGGCAAATTCCAGATACCCTGTTCAACTGCCAACAAAATTGATAATTGAGGCGCCTGTAACAGCCACTCTAACACAGTGTATCATTTTGATCAAGAGTAGATAATCCACAATCTACGGACATGTCTTCATGAGGGGCGTTCTAGAAATTACCACAGGGAAATTGACATAGTGTCACAGAAAACACCTGTATTAGAAATGATTGCATGAATAACAGTAGGCTGATGACACATGATAAACAACAAATGTCATGGACTAATATAACAAACAGGCATTGCCAATGCTGTTTTATTACTAAAAACTGCTATTTATTATTTTCTTTCCCGTGTGGGTTACAGTGCCCCATTTTAGGGGAAAAGAATGAACCCACTGCTCCTCTTAACCCTGTCAGACCGCTGTACCGATTTTTCGGTAATTTCCTAATCTCTTGCTTAAGCTAATTTTTAGTACTTTGCCTAGTACATGAAAAAAATGCGCCATAAACCAAAAATAACCACCAATCGTGGCCAAACCTCATGGTTAGCCACTGAAAATGTCTGCCTCCCTGTGTCTGAATTGATTTTGTGTGGTTTAACATAAAAAAATTTATGAAAATTTACAATGAAACGAGCGGCTGAAGAACCAAGCACTTCAAGAGGAAAGCAAAGTAAGTCTAGGATTTTCGCAGTCCAACAGGTGATTGATACTTTGGTTGATTCCGACTCTGAGGAGTCAGAATTTCATCAAGAATATGTTTCCAGTTCAACTCACACAGACAGTGAGAACTTCCTTAGATCTATCACAGAGGAGACTGAACCAACTGACTTGAAAAAAAAGCCAGTTTATTTCACCAGATATATTCAGAAACTGTAGCTGCACTAATTAGTGAACACAGACCATCAGCCAGCCGCCACCCATAAAAGGAACCCTGCTCTCAACGGACAACCCCAGGTAATCATTTTCCAGAGATTTTCTCTGGGACATCGTCTAATCATATCTGTGTTGTGTGCAAGGAAAAGCACTCCAGGGACAAGAAGCAAAATCCTGGAGTGTCTTATAAAGACAATCCATGCAAAAGGGTGAAGATCAACATCTGGTGCTCACTTTGCTAGACGTACCTGTGTGTGAAACAAGGCTCATCCTGTTAATGAATTGGCATACAAAGGTGGAATATTGGCGCTAGATGAAAGGTAGACCTATTTGCTACAATGTCTCCAAGTTCCACCTTATTCTAACCACTTGTTTGCATGTAACTAACAACTGTCTATACCATGTTGGTTTTCTTCTTGAATGTTCAGGAGCCCAGGTGTAGGGGACAGTTAGGATCAGGGCTTCAGGTCTGGTAGGGTTAAGAAGCATGTTGTAAGAGCTGACTCAATTAGCAGTGTTTCCTTCCAAGTCAGAGTGCATCTGCTGAGAAGTGAGGAACTAACAGTCTGTACACATCAAGCCAGATCTGTAAAATGGATGTGCATGCAACCCTTAAATTCTGGAACAAGACCAAAGTGCAAAAGTATACAAATAACCATGGCTTTTTGCCAGAGTTTATTGTTGCTGGTAAATGTAAGAATAGTTTTCACATCGAAAACCCCTCAGAAAAAGCCATAAACCTGGGTATTCCCGAAAATAAAAATAACATTAAACAGATTTATTTATGCACAGTAAAATGTTTAAAACAATTAATGTATCAAGTGAAACAAAAAAACACGGACAGCAAAATTGGATATAATGGTATTTTAAAAAAAACTGTTTTTCACAATACAAGCCCTGTCCCCTAAATTCAGTTTTTCAGTAAATATAATCATACCCACTACTCCTAAACACTGCAAGGCACAAACATAACCAATACCATTAAATAGGCTTGTCAGGGATAGGCCAATGCAGCTATGCCCATTGAGTTGTTTTTATGGAGATTTGTAATGGATGTTGATGCCGGATTAGCAGCATCTTGGGGACAAATGTTTAGAAGAAATGCATGTTTAAGCTAAGGCCAGACCACAGCATTGAGATAAATGTTTTATTTTGAAAAAAAAAAATTGTAAGTCTAACTTATTCTTTCCATTATATCTCAAATGTCTCAATGATTCGTGGTATCTTTAAGCATGGTCCATAAACGCAGGCAGAGTTCACCTTTACCAAGCAGGTTTAGGAACTTTGTTACCTTCAACTCTGATAAACACAAAAGCACATCCAGATATTGTACAGATTTTGTCAGAAATCAAATGGAAGCAACATTATAAGACAAACTGGGTAGACTGGCCCTGGCCACAGGTGTAACTGTGTTTATGACTCATGTCAAAATATAACATTATAGCAAACACTTGACATTCTGAGAAGAAATATATTGTCCCTGTATATGAGTTATAAATTTAGCACACACACAAAAAACAAAATAATTCTATTAGACTGTGAATTGTTTTTTTGTATATGGTCAGATTACTAATAACTGGCTTAAAACATGTCCTGAAATTCTGAAGCCAGAGAAAAAAGAGTCTACTGTTGTTTGCGGTGATATCAATAACTTTATGAAACTGTTGTGTGGTATAAATAGTCTAATAGAATGTATACTAAAAACAATTTCACAAAGTTAAGATAGCACCAAACACAGCAGGTGTGCTCTTTCTTCTCGGCCTTAAAGCCTACCCAATCAAGGCTTTAGCTCTGACCGTTTTATACAACTTTCCTTTAGTGTCTTTTTTTTTTCTTCAGTTAAAGACTTGAAAAAAAAAATTGTTTAGACAAGAGAAAGCCCTTCACTCATCTTCCATAAATAAAAAAACTGGCCATCTGTTTGAATGCCTCTACAGACAGTCATTCTTTGAGCTGACCTGGGCTTTCAGGTCAGCCCAGCCTCAAACTGGTAGAAGGAAATGCTCTGGGAAGTAAAGATGGCCGCCAGTGTTGTGACCACATCTCCAATCCACACACACACGACTCGTAACTCAAAGTGTGGGAAAAGGTCCTTTACTTTCTTCACTAACTACAACCAGACCTTCATGACTTGCTGCAGAACATGAAATGTTTTAGAGATAGCACTCCCGTTTGTCACACACTATTAACAATAGTTCAGTGCTGATACTTCACAGAGAAAACATGTATCAGCCACAGCTGTCACTGGAGACCTGTTCAGCCATGCTACTATCATACAAATATGCTGCTGCTATTCCCACAATGACCCAGCCAAAAACTTACTTGGACAAGTAAGGCATTTCTTGGCTCAATCTCTGTGTCTTGAGTGTCAATACAATATCAAGGGTATAATGCTGCTGCAACTGAGCTATGACTGACTTAAATATACACTGTACTATTTTTGTCCCTGCTGCCATTTCCTAGGTCCAGTACATCAGAATCTGCAAACACTGAAATCTGTGACAGTGACGTTGTGGCTATGGCAATGTCTGGCATGACGTCACTTAGGGTGCTCTCCGCACAGTTGTTTCTCTGTCAATGTACAATAAATAGACATATTAGTGAAAAGTTACAGTGACCACCTGTGACTTCTATACTTTAACACTGATACAGTTCAGCAATCTTGAGTGTTGACACATTTTTTTTACACTGAGCATCATTATTTATTGACACTGAACAATATTCTTGTATGTACATTTATTGACACTGTGCATCATGATTTGCTGACAATGTGCACCATTATTTATTGATACTGGACATCATTCTTGTACATACATTAATTGACAATGTGCACCATTATTTATTGACACTGGACATCATTCTTGTACATACATTTATTGACAATGTGCACCATTATTTATTGATACTGGACATCATTCTTGTACATACATTTATTGACATTGGACATCATTCTTGAACATACATTTATTGACACTATGCACCATTATTTATTGATACTGGACATCATTCTTGTACATACATTTATTGACAATGTACACCATTATTTATTGACATTGGACACCATTCCTGTATGTACATTTATTGACACTGTGCACCATTATTTATTGAGACAGTGCATTATTCTAGTATGTACAATTACTGAAACTGCATCATTCATGTATGTACATTTACTGACACATTTCCCTGATGTACATACATTGGTTGACAAAGTTCATAATTCCAGTATGTAACTAATATTTACACAGTTCACATCTGTACATACATTTCTTGACAAATTGTATCATTCCTTTACCTACATTTATTGTCACAGTTCACCCCATCACAGTTGCTGACAATGTCCCTCATTACTGTGTGTAGCTTTATTGACAGTTTACCCCATCACAGTTGCTGACAATGTCCCTCATTACTGTGTGTAGCTTTATTGACAGTTTACCCCATCACAGTTGCTGACAATGTCCCTCATTACTGTGTGTAGCTTTATTGACAGTTTACCCCATCACAGTTGCTGACAATGTCCCTCATTCCTGTGTGTAGCTTTATTGACACAGTTCACCCCATCACAGTTGCTGACAATGTCCCTCATTACTGTATGTAGCTTTATTGACACAGTTTACCCCATCACAGTTGCTGACAATGTCCCTCATTCCTGTGTGTAGCTTTATTGACACAGTTTACCCCATCACAGTTGCTGACAATGTCCCTCATTCCTGTATGTAGCTTTATTGACACAGTTTACCCCATCACAGTTGCTGACAATGTCCCTCATTCCTGTATGTAGCTTTATTGACACAGTTTACCCCATCACAGTTGCTGACAATGTCCCTCATTCCTGTATGTAGCTTTATTGACACAGTTTACCCCATCACAGTTGCTGACAATGTCCCTCATTCCTGTATGTAGCTTTATTGACACAGTTTACCCCATCACAGTTGCTGACAATGTCCCTCATTCCTGTATGTAGCTTTATTGACACAGTTTACCCCATCACAGTTGCTGACAATGTCCCTCATTCCTGTGTGTAGCTTTATTGACACAGTTTACCCCATCACAGTTGCTGACAATGTCCCTCATTCCTGTGTGTAGCTTTATTGACACAGTTTACCCCATCACAGTTGCTGACAATGTCCCTCATTCCTGTGTGTAGCTTTATTGACACAGTTTACCCCATCACAGTTGCTGACAATGTCCCTCATTCCTGTGTGTAGCTTTATTGACACAGTTTACCCCATCACAGTTGCTGACAATGTCCCTCATTCCTGTGTGTAGCTTTATTGTTTACCCCACACAGTTGCTGACAATGTCACTCAGTACTGTGTGTAGCTTTATTGACAATGTACCCCATCACAGTTGCTGACAATGTCCCTCATTTGAGCTTTATTGACACAGTTTACCCCATCACAGTTGCTGACAATGTCCCTCATTCCTGTGTGTAGCTTTATTGACACAGTTTACCCCATCACAGTTGCTGACAATGTCCCTCATTACTGTGTGTAGCTTTATTGACACAGTTTACCCCATCACAGTTGCTGACAATGTCCCTCATTCCTGTATGTAGCTTTGACACAGTTTACCCCATCACAGTTGTGACAATGTCCCTCAGCTTGTGTATTGACACAGTTTACCCCATCACAGTTGCACAGTTGCTGACACAGTGTCCCCCATCACAGTTGCTGACAATGTCCTGTGTGTGTAGCTTTATTGACACAGTTTACCCCATCACAGTTGCTGACAATGTCCCTCATTCCTGTGTGTAGCTTTATTGACACAGTTTACCCCCAGTTTACCCCATCACAGTTGCTGACAATGTCCCTCATTACTGTGTGTAGCTTTATTGACACAGTTTACCCCATCACAGTTGCTGACAATGTCCCTCATTCCTGTATGTAGCTTTATTGACACAGTTTACCCCATCACAGTTGCTGACAATGTCCCTCATTATGTAGCTGTATGTAGCTTTATTGACACAGTTTACCCCATCACAGTTGCTGACAATGTCCCTCATTCCTGTATGTAGCTTTATTGACACAGTTTACCCCATCACAGTTGCTGACAATGTCCCTCATTACTGTATGTAGCTTTATTGACACAGTTTACCCCATCACAGTTGCTGACAATGTCCCTCATTACTGTATGTAGCTTTATTGACACAGTTTACCCCATCACAGTTGCTGACAATGTCCCTCATTCCTGTATGTAGCTTTATTGACAGTTTACCCCATCACAGTTGCTGACAATGTCCCTCATTACTGTATGTAGCTTTATTGACACAGTTTACCCCATCACAGTTGCTGACAATGTTCCTCATTCAACTGTCAATGATTCACTTCCATATATCAAAATAGGGTTTATATAGCTTTTAAGAATTCTCTTTTTCGTTTCATTGACAAAGAAAAATTGCATAAAATATTCTTCACTTTGTAAAATGCTGCCTTTGCATGAGCTATTCTAAATTTAAATTCTCTAATATAACATTCATCTATTGTTATCAGGGTACCCAAGTACTTAAATGAGTTTGTCCCATTTACTTTGATGTCGCATTTTTGAGGGTCAGATTTTTGGAATTACCATTACATATTCTTCTGTTTTCGACTGATAAAAGAAAAAAACAAGCCAAGGCATCGCCAGCCTCATTTATCCACAGTGCTGAAAAACACAAGCAGTGAGAGACATTGGCTACAAATGCATTCACAGCAGCTCCCTGATGACAAACGGATGGAGTAATCAGACAAGTAGACGTAAATGCATTTCAATGATAATATTCATAACATCAATGCCCACAAACTACACATACCTCTAAATTCCTTGAAGGCAAGGTCTGAGTCATGTTCGGGCTAGAGTTCCTCAAGAAATGATACTGCCTCAACTGATGACCGCCCTGTGACTGCACACAACCCACATGTCTACAGCGGCACTTAGAACTGCTGTTGGAATAATAATAATGACTGTTTTGCAGAATTTCAACAGCGCTGTCTGGCAAACCAAACTCTCTGACAACACGCAACTGTATATGAAAGGCAACACTTTTTCTAACACTTCTTTTGTCAGTGCAAACTAATGAAGTAGCTTCCTGGGCTGATTTTAACTGCTGCAATTCTTGCTCTCGTTCCAGCATTTTCATAAAAGTTGCTCTGTCTGGCACTGAAAGATATAAGGAGATGCAAACAAATTAAACCACAGAGAAATAGCGATCAGCAGAGCTGATATAATCTCATTAACATTACTAAACTTCATTTCCCGTGTTCCTGCTATTTTTACTCAATTTAGTTTGTATGTGCAATTGGGGGGAAGGGGGGTGTAATTATAAATTAATAATACTGCTGCTAATACAGCTGTGTAGGAGCTAAATGTAAAATTAATCAATCCATTTTTAGGTAAAGAACATGAGAAATATATGCTGAAGACACCATTAACCTGACATGACAGCTGACACTGGTTGGGGGGGGGGGGGGGGGGGGGGGGAGAGAGAGAACAAACAGAAACCTCACTATCCTGTCATGTTGACAAGGTGGGTAATATGTACTGTTTGCCAGCCCATGTGCTGGCATCAACTCTAGGCCACATCTTGATTTGAATATTAGTCAAAACCTAATTTTCATGGTCTCCTCTCCGACTGTGAGCCTGTGTGAGTTCTAGCACAATGCTGTTAACTCTCATAATGCTGCACATTTTAAGACATTCCTAAAAAGGTTAACAGCAAAATGTTTTTTCTATTCTTAACACAAAAATTTATAAATAAAAGAGCACTAAAGCTATTATTACTTTCATGTGACTGACACTGGGGAGGGTGGAGGAGGGGGCACAATTGTAAAGTAGCAAATGCCAGCCTGGAGGTCTTGAGTTGAAATATATACTGAAGCATATTTTACAACCAATCAAAACTCCCAAGTCCGTCCAGTTTAAAATGGGTGCAAGATAACAGGAAATGCCCAGGGATGTAAAGACAGCCTTCAAGATGCTGGCCACATCACCCATCAAGTGTGAAAAGGTCTATGAAATATAGGTCTGGCATTTGCCTAATGCACCAATGGGTGAAAACGTGTCTTGACTTCACTTGTCAATATATGACTGGAAGTAATCAATGGTCTGTGTACACTGATGTCACTCTGTAGGTGTCTTGACTTCACTTGTCAATATATGATGGAAGTAATCAATGATCTGTGTACACTGATGTTACCCTGTAGGTGTCTTGACTTCACTTGTCAATATATGACTGGAAGTAATCAATGATCTGTGTACACTGATGTCACTCTGTAGGTGTCTTGACTTCACTTGTCAATATATGACTGGAAGTAATCAATGATCTGTGTACACTGATGTCACTCTGTAGGTGTCTTGACTTCACTTGTCAATATGTCTTGACTTCACTTGTCAATATATGACTGGAAGCACTGATGTCACTTGTAGGTGTCTTGACTTCATTGTCAATATATGACTGGAAGTAATCAATGATCTGTGTACACTGATGTCACTCTGTAGGTGTCTTGACTTCACTTGTCAATATATGACTGGAAGTAATCAATGATCTGTGTACACTGATGTCACCCTGTAGGTGTCTTGACTTCACTTGTCAATATATGACTGGAAGTAATCAATGATCTGTGTACACTGATGTCACTCTGTAGGTGTCTTGACTTCACTTGTCAATATATGACTGGAAGTAATCAATGATCTGTGTACACTGATGTCACCCTGTAGGTGTCTTGACTTCACTTGTCAATATATGACTGGAAGTAATCAATGATCTGTGTACACTGATGTCACCCTGTAGGTGTCTTGACTTCACTTGTCAATATATGACTGGAAGTAATCAATGACACTGATGTCACCCTGTAGGTACTTCACTTGTCAATATATGATGGAAGTAATCAATGATCTGTGTACACTGGTGTAGGTGTCTTGACTTCACTTGTCAATATATGACTGGAAGTAATCAATGATCTGTGTACACTGATGTCACTCTGTAGGTGTCTTGACTTCACTTGTCAATATATGACTGGAAGTAATCAATGATCTGTGTACACTGATGTCACCCTGTAGGTGTCTTGACTTCACTTGTCAATATATGACTGGAAGTAATCAATGATCTGTGTACACTGATGTCACCCTGTAGGTGTCTTTGTCAATTATGACTGGAAGTAATCAATGATCTGTGTCAATGTCACTCTGTAGGTGTCTTGACTTCACTTGAAGACTAAGTAATCAATGATCTGTGTACACTGATGTCACTCTGTAGGTGTCTTGACTTCACTTGTCAATATATGACTGGAAGTAATCAATGATCTGTGTACACTGATGTCACCCTGTAGGTGTCTTGACTTCACTTGTCAATATATGACTGGAAGTAAATCACACTGATCTGTAGTACACTTGTCAATATATGACCAATGATCTGTAGGTGTCTCTGACTTCACTTCACTTGTCAATATATGACTGGAAGTAATCAATGATCTGTGTACACTGATGTCACTCTGTAGGTGTCTTGACTTCACTTGTCAATATATGACTGGAAGTAATCAATGATCTGTGTACACTGATGTCACTCTGTAGGTGTCTTGACTTCACTTGTCAATATATGACTGGAAGTAATCAATGATCTGTGTACACTGATGTCACTCTGTAGGTGTCTTGACTTCACTTGTCAATATATGACTGGAAGTAATCAATGATCTGTGTACACTGATGTCACTCTGTAGGTGTCTTGACTTCACTTGTCAATATATGACTGGAAGTAATCAATGATCTGTGTACACTGATGTCACTCTGTAGGTGTCTTGACTTCACTTGTCAATATATGACTGGAAGTAATCAATGATCTGTGTACACTGATGTCACTCTGTAGGTGTCTTGACTTCACTTGTCAATATATGACACTGGAAGTAATCACTGATCTGTGTACACTGATGTTACCCTGTAGGTGTCTTGACTTCACTTGTCAATATATGACTGGAAGTAATCAATGATCTGTGTACACTGATGTCACTCTGTAGGTGTCTTGACTTCACTTGTCAATATATGACTGGAAGTAATCAATGATCTGTGTACACTGATGTCACTCTGTAGGTGTCTTGACTTCACTTGTCAATATATGACTGGAAGTAATCAATGATCTGTGTACACTGATGTCTCTGTAGGTGTCTTGACTTCACTTGTCAATATATGACTGGAAGTAATCAATGATCTGTAGATGTGTAGGTGTCTTGACTTCACTTGTCAATATATGACTGGAAGTAATCAATGATCTGTGTACACTGATGTCACCCTGTAGGTGTCTTGACTTCACTTGTCAATATATGACTGGAAGTAATCAATGATCTGTGTACACTGATGTCACCCTGTAGGTGTCTTGACTTCACTTGTCAATATATGATGGAAGTAATCAATGATCTGTGTACACTGATGTCACTCTGTAGGTGTCTTGACTTCACTTGTCAATATATGATGGAAGTAATCAATGATCTGTGTACACTGATGTCACTCTGTAGGTGTCTTGACTTCACTTGTCAATATATGATGGAAGTAATCAATGATCTGTGTACACTGATGTCACTCTGTAGGTGTCTTGACTTCACTTGTCAATATATGATGGAAGTAATCAATGATCTGTGTACACTGATGTCACTCTGTAGGTGTCTTGACTTCACTTGTCAATATATGACTGGAAGTAATCAATGATCTGTGTACACTGATGTCACTCTGTAGGTGTCTTGACTTCACTTGTCAATATATGACTGGAAGTAATCAATGATCTGTGTACACTGATGTCACCCTGTAGGTGTCTTGACTTCACTTGTCAATATATGACTGGAAGTAATCAATGATCTGTGTACACTGATGTCACTCTGTAGGTGTCTTGACTTCACTTGTCAATATATGACTGGAAGTAATCAATGATCTGTGTACACTGATGTCACTCTGTAGGTGTCTTGACTTCACTTGTCAATATATGACTGGAAGTAATCAATGATCTGTGTACACTGATGTCACTCTGTAGGTGTCTTGACTTCACTTGTCAATATATGATGGAAGTAATCAATGGTCTGTGTACACTGATGTCACTCTGTAGGTGTCTTGACTTCACTTGTCAATATATGATGGAAGTAATCAATGATCTGTGTACACTGATGTCACTCTGTAGGTGTCTTGACTTCACTTGTCAATATATGATGGAAGTAATCAATGGTCTGTGTACACTGATGTTACTCTGTAGGTGTCTTGACTTCACTTGTCAATATATGATGGAAGTAATCAATGATCTGTGTACACTGATGTTACTCTGTAGGTGTCTTGACTTCACTTGTCAATATATGACTGGAAGTAATCAATGATCTGTGTACACTGATGTCACTCTGTAGGTGTCTTGACTTCACTTGTCAATATATGACTGGAAGTAATCAATGATCTGTGTACACTGATGTCACTCTGTAGGTGTCTTGACTTCACTTGTCAATATATGACTGGAAGTAATCAATGATCTGTGTACACTGATGTTACTCTGTAGGTGTCTTGACTTCACTTGTCAATATATGCTGGAAGTAATCAATGATCTGTGTACACTGATGTTACCCTGTAGGTGTCTTGACTTCACTTGTCAATATATGAGTGGAAGTAATCAATGATCTGTGTACACTGATGTCACTCTGTAGGTGTCTTGACTTCACTTGTCAATATATGACTGGAAGTAATCAATGATCTGTGTACACTGATGTTACCCTGTAGGTGTCTTGACTTCACTTGTCAATATATGATGGAAGTAATCAATGGTCTGTGTACACTGATGTTACCCTGTAGGTGTCTTGACTTCACTTGTCAATATATGACTGGAAGTAATCAATGATCTGTGTACACTGATGTCACTCTGTAGGTGTCTTGACTTCACTTGTCAATATATGATGGAAGTAATCAATGATCTGTGTACACTGATGTTACCCTGTAGGTGTCTTGACTTCACTTGTCAATATATGACTGGAAGTAATCAATGATCTGTGTACACTGATGTCAGATGGCTAATACATTCCAGAAACCATGACAGAAAATGTTGAAAGCAATTACCTGGTATGGATCCAGAAACAACATCTAATGTTGACACAGGGGAACCTGAGTAAGGCAGTGTTAATGAGGCATCCTTGTCCTCCAGCATGTACAATGTGTCAGGTATAGCTGACATGTGAATAGCTCTACACTTCTGACCCGAGTCACAGTCCTGAGACAGCCTTTCCTCCAGGACATTCTGCAAGAAACATTAATATGGGCAACTGAATAAATCAAGTATCACCTGAAGCCGTAATAAGCTGTAATCTTTTTATCAGCAAATCACAGTTCTGTTTTATTTTTACATCTCAAATTCTATTTAAAGTATTTTAAAATCTCAACTAGAAATTAAATATCCTGTAATGTATTTATAACTGTAACCCTTTATTTAGCATCTCAGCCCACATAATTATATCCTAGCGACAACACAGTTTACTAATGTAAATTAGTATCATCATGTTCATCAAGTGACTTGACGACAGGCATGAGAGACAAATACAACACTGGTTTCTCATTGCCTTTGGCCAGCTGTGTGTATGATTGACTCCAAGAGCTTTTATCCAAACAAGACAGACCCTGCAAAGCAGGAGGAGGGGATAGGTTGTTTATGCATGGTCATATCACAGTTTGTAGATATTTTATGGAGACAGCTGCATACTGTGAATGGACCACATTTAACAAAAAGCCTGTAAACATGCTGTACCTATTTTTTTAAAACAGCGAACCATCTCAACCTGCCGTACAGAATGCTCTTATTTACTGCCACCAAGCCAAATCCATGAGCTCCACAAAGTACTTCTTCTTAGCATTCACTGGCTGTAAACTCCAACAGAAAGTCCTGGCTATTCATCCACTTCAGGACTTCGGTCTTGGTCAAGAGCTTGAGTTTTGTGTGCGCATCTGTTTTACAGATCTAGCTTGTTTGTTTGCAGATCGCTGGTTCCCAGCCTCTCAGGCAGATGAACTCTGACTCTGAAGGAATCTAAGATAACTATTATTTAAGTCAAAATAATTATGCAGATACAAAGCGCATTTTTTAAGTTAGTCCCGTTTTGACTGCACTGATAAATAACGATAGAAAACGTAACTGTGCATATGCAGTATGTTTATGTGGTTTATTAGCTAGCTGTGTGCTATTTTTTCCTGGCAAAATCTTGTTTGATGCTGGATGTGAGTGATTTATAATGAGTGCCCCCCAAAAAAAAATCCCTCCAGCTGTGAGGTTTGTGCTGTAATTAGCAAAAGACAACAGTGCTGCAGAAATTCACAGGCAACTCAGTGAGGTTAGTTTATGACTTATAATATGGTTAGTAAATGATGTTGAATGTTTAAAGAAGGGTGAACAAATATCCATGATGAAGATCGTAGCGGTCGGCCGAGTGTGGTGATAGAAGTCAAAGAAGTGAATCCAAAAATTCAGAAAAATTGTTGTTTAACGGAAGTTACACTTTAACTGATTTACGACATTATGACAAAAATTAAATTGTGTGCCAGATGGGTACCATAATGTTAACTAATGAACGCAAGCAGAAACACTTGGCTTCGGCTCAAACAGTTTTGCAGTGCTATCAAAATAAAAGAGATAAAGGAAATTGTTGACCACCTGCCCTACAGCCCCAATCTGGCACCAAGTGATTACCAACTTTTCATGCTCCTAAAGAAGTGGCTGGCAACCCAACGGTTTGAAACTGATGTAGCCACAGACAGGCATTAATGAATGGTTCGTGACACTGGTGGCAGACTGCTATAACACTGGAATTTAGAACCTGGTGCCATGATAATAAAAATGTGTTGAAGTCAATAGTGACTAAGCCGAGAAATAATTTAAATGTGTGGTTCATTTCATGGTGCAAAAAAATCATTTTTATTTATGGTGGTTTTTTTTAAATAATTATTTTATACCGGGACTTATTTAAAAAATGTGACTCATACTTCTGCATAAAACTGACTTTCAAATCCTGTTATGGAAGCTAGTTCTAAGATAAAGCCTAGTAACATTAGGGCCTCAATGATGTGTTGTTCTCAGAACTTCATAACATGGACGATCTTCCAAATAGGTCAATAAAAAGACAGTCTGACATTCACAACGGACTGAAATTTCTTGGACTTGGAATGACACTGTAATCTTCTCTTCAGCTTGTAATCTTTCCTTGAGTTATGAGCTAGTTCACCTATTACACAGCTGTATGTATAAGAGTTTGTGTGGGCATGCATGTGACTGTATCCTACCCATATAAAACACGTTATGTTGTGCAGCTAACAATATGTACTCTACATAATTTATGTACTGATACATAGAAGAAAGCTGCATTATGGCTTTTTAAACAACACACACAAAACATCAACAACCCCAACCCAGACATGTAGAGTTCCCTCTCTTTCTCTCCCCCATCCACTCCTAACACCCCCCCCCCAGTTCTAAATACAAAATCTTCATATTTCAGTGAACACATTTTCAAACCTTTGCTTCCTCAAAATAAGGAAGAAATAGCCTTGGCTTCCGGAAATATCCACTTGCAGTTATTCCAGTCCACGCTCCAATGGTGTGTAGTACCATATTGTCAGGATAAGAATATGCAGAAGGTGGCTCCACCAGCCCTCGTTTGATAGCATTATTTAAAACATCATTTACAGGAGGCAGTATGTGTTCTGTGCGCACCAGCGGAAGGATCTCTGAGAGTAGATCATGAAGTTCTGCATCATTGAGATCTCTCTTTTTTACACCCTTTTTCGTAACACTATGGGCAGTGTGGGAAAGCAGATTTGGTTCTGAAAAGACAATAAATCTTTGTAATCATAAGGTAAAAACCCACAAGCACTGTATGTAAAAGTGTCACACTACATTTATAAAAGTGTAACATTTTATTTACTTGACAGAAATGTTGATAAACAAACTTTATTTTCAAAGGTTAACAATTGGGCATGCAGGTCAGTCAAAAATGCTGGCTTTCTAATCTCCATCCTATCATAAATAATCTCATTCACACATCTGTTAACAGGTAATAGTAAACATCAACTGCAACTAAATATTAAATACAAGCACTGGAATGTGCTTGAATTTACACCTGCATTTCTAACCACAAAAAACCATGGTAACTTATAAATCTAAGGAACTATACACTGTTTAAAATACTTTTCAAAACAATGTTTCCCCCTCGTGAATTAATCATGCAGACACAAAATTACACTGAACAATTTACTGTAAGGAATATTTCGCTGTATCTTGTCAGGTGATTTACTACTGAGTTACATCAATATAAATTAATTATTTTAAAAAAAAGTTACATTTTTTTTACTAGAAAGATGTGTTACAGATTAATAATTTATTGTAGTTACCTTCTGGTGTCCTAATTAAAATCAATTCTGTCATTTCTCAGAGCTGTTATTATTCACAAAGTTATCTAAAATTATTCACATGACCTCTATTCTCAAATGAGCAATTCAAAGACAAAGGTCATAAACAAATATAGGACTAGCACCATATGTCCACTATGCCTAAAGACACAGAAGGTAAAGCGTCAACATTTTGTTTACTCACCTCTCTCCTCAATTCTTTTAGTTAACTGATGTTCTCCCCATCTGATCGCACTATTTAAAACATCTTGTTCACTGGACTGAAAATACAACAAAAACAAACATTAGCTAAAACAGTTTGATACTGACTGAAGCAAAGATATTTCAATCAATCATCAGGTATAATACAATATGCACTGAACTACATAGCTATATTCCACTGTAGTTAGGGCAATTCCACAAGTACCCCCAGCAGAAATCGAAAGGCATGGATGTAAATTATTCTGGTTGTGTATAAGTTATAGTCATCAAAGTCTTAATCTCCTGTGTCAGTTTGTTAAAATGTTCACATTCAATGCAAAATTTTGCCCCAACAATAAATAGCCTCTCAGACTACTTGGTGATGTTCAATTGTGAGGTTTATAAAGGGGACATCTTATTGTTACCATATCCAAACGACTAAGTATCAAATCTCCCTCACAAGAGTATGTGAAATATCATGTGTTATATTATTAGCACACAATGCTGTGTTTAAAATATGCAACCCTGTGCCAGCAGCGAGACCAGGTAGCTCGTCAGCCAGAGGGGATACTAAAGACTTTGAACTATCTCCCCCTTTATTCCTTCTATTCATGTTCCTCCTCAATCATGCCCTCCTTCTATCCCTTCAGTTCCTGTTCAATGTTACAATAACAGGAAATTTCAAGGCTAACATGTCACCTCTCTTACTTGCATGCATTTCTACAATTATTTACACTATAACAACCTTTCTTAAAAGAAAACGACTAAATATTCCAAATAGATGTGATGATAGCAGGATCTTTTCCTGGTGGTATGCAATGGTATGCAGTACCAGCACCTTTTTTAGGCAATGGTTTTAAGCACTACTGTAATGGTCACTTTGTGGTGAATGCTGAAAAGTCCTAAATGATAGTAATGTCAAAATGACAAGAGGCTAAGAACTACTTAAGTCACAATATTCTTTAAAATACTGATATGGTAAAATGCTACCTGTAGATTATCTGACGACAACACCTCTATTAGGTACTCCTTTTCTATGTCAAATAACACAGGTGAGTGGGAAATCTGCAACAAAAACAACAAAACAGTAAAAATTTCACAAAAGTCAAGTAAAACATATTGACTTCTGAACACAAAAACAATATGTTGCATTAGGTAATCTATGATGTTACCATGTCTGCATTTTGTTTTCGCAACGGCTTTAATTACAGACAAATATAACCCGGTATATGTAAAACTTGAAAGTTCCACATGACTTTAGGAGTACCTGGCATTTAATCAGGTTTTACGTTGGTCAATGCTGCAAAGATGTCCAAAACATTGAGTATCTCCCTCAAGTTGTATACTCCAGAAGACTGCCCAGTTATTCATCTCTTGATGTTATCTTTTCAACTTGCCCACATGTAATACACCAAGAGCATTCTGAATGCTGCCATATGCAGATATCCTAACAAATAAGTTGTCTATATCAGCAATTTTGTCTCTTGTATAAATTTCACTGTCGTTGCTAGTTCATTCAGTGGTCCTCAGAGTTTACGTTCCACTGTTGTTCTTTCTGGCCAAAAGGTTTGCCTTAATGTGTCAAATTCGGTGCAGTCCTGGAGTACATGCTCTGCTGTCTGGAGCACCTTTCCACAGGTGCACATGACTGATACGCCTTTCTTGAATTTTGTGTACATGTGGTAATGTAATCGGTTGTGCCCTGTTCTGAGGCAGGGGATAATGACTTGTTCTGATCTGTCCATAATAAAATAGTCATCTTTTGCTGGGGCTGGTGGTTTCCTGGTCAATTTATTGATTCTTCTTTTTTGGTGGTATGTGACTGTTGCAAATGGCGGAACTTTTGTCGCACCTTCCCCTGCCAGTTGATCAGCTTTCTCATTTCCAGGCACTCCACAATGAGATGGTATCCAGTGCATTACGACTCTTCGCTGAAGGCTGAGTTGTGTCAGCAGTGTTTGCAATTCTGGTAGTTTCTTAGACTGGAGTGCTTCAAGAACGGATTTTGCATCTGTCAGCATTACCATATACTGGTGAGCCAAGATTGATATTTAGCAGTTTCTCTGTTGCTATCTTGATAGCATGAGTTTCTGCATTATAGTTATGGCAGTACTTCCCGGTTGGTACGCTGGACTTTTTCCTAGTACCATCTGGGAATTCTATGTACTCTAGCACCTCCATTTCTAACTGCACTTTGTGCAGACCCATCTGTATAGACTCTGACCCATTGTTCTCATGGGTATTCTTTATCCATTTAACTGAGGGTGGCCATTCTGCATTGTACACTGTTTTGCTCTTTCTTGTCAAACATTCCTTTCACACTTGTCTGGATTTGTACTGTTTGCATTTTTCTCTCCATGGGGTTTGTTCTGGAATACTTTTAAGTGGACAACCAATTTCTGGAAGGTCAGTAGTTTGTATACATATTCTTTTTGCTTGGTGTATAAAGCCAATGATCTTCTGGTAGTGGATCAGATACTTAGCCCCTTCTCAGACATGGGTATAAAAATGGACTTTATACTTGTTACTGTGTATCAACATCCCAGCACATCAGTGTCATCCATGTGTGTTTCATACTCCGATTCAGCAGTCATCTCAGTGACTCCATGCTCACTACACACAGTAGCAGCTTCTTTCTTTGTCCAGCAGCTAGTTTCTGTATACTTGTCCTCATTGAATTTTCAACAGCCAGTTCTTCGTCACTGACTCCTTTATCTCAGCAGCACATTCAGCATGTCTGCGCTGTCCACACTTCTTCATCTAATAAACACTGCAGACACAGCCAGTCTTTCATTCTTGTCACCACTGTGTCCTGGTGTGCACAGCCAAGATAGTTTCTTGAGGCCGGACTTCTGGATGCTGTAAACAATTTTTTTTTTTTTACAACAAAAAAATATCAAAGCATTGTAAACTGAAAAAATAAACAAACATACAAACAAAAGATTGCATATATTATTGTTTTTCATTTTTTGCTGTATCCTGTCAGGTGCATACTTCAGTAACCATTGAATGAAATGAAGCAAATAAATCAATCAAATTACAACTGAAATACAAAAGTAACTGCCTGTTTTACCAGGGCAAGAAATACAATATAATAAACACACTACTAAACGAAGGCTTTCAAACTACATGCCACATAAGTCAACACTTAATGCTGATCTGCTTACATAGATGGCTGCAGGTCAAGTCATCAAGACTCATTCTCAACACAGCTCTTGAACACTAACAGGTTTTAAGAGCTCTAGTAGCTAGTAGACTGTGTCTTCAAATCACTTTTGATAAGGTTTTTTCCCAGGTCTACCTAGCCCAAAAATGGGTGGCATGAAATTTCTTGGAAATTAAAAGTTGCCAATATAATACTGATCATATCACTTGTCAAGTGCTAATAACACAGTAAACACATTGGGAAGACCCATGGATACAATAGGAACTTATAAAACTAAACAATTTTCAACAATACCTGGGCAAATTCCTCAGTCAAGAATGCCACAGCCTGTCGATGGACCCACTTTGAGCCATGAGGTTCGGCACTCCAGTGTAGCACACTGACCAAGGACTCGGATGTTAGGTTGTCAACTATTATATCCTCACAGCCTTTTTGGTAATTGAAAATGCCAATATCAATCTGTCTAAAGCATTGAAGTAATGCAATTTTTAACACTGTACATCTTATGCATCACACTGCCAGCCCTGTCATACTGTGGCATTTAATGGAAGTATTACAGTTTAAAGTCAAGAAAGTCACCCTATCTATTTTAACAACAAACATTTATATTCCTTGACTACTGCCTGTCGATGCAAGCTTTTTTTATATTTAAACACCCTGGTTTGTCTGTAAAATTTAACCTAGAAAACCTGATCTGAGACACCCCAATAACCCTTAAACAAATGTAGAAACTGCCCCCGTGGGCAGTCTCTTTTACAAATAACACAAAACGTAACTTAAACATGCTGGTGAAAGAAAAATCAGCAGAAAGTTCTGAATGATGAAACAACATTATACTACAAAACCTTCAAGATGAAGCACCTGTGTAAATGCAGAAGCACTAAGTACTACACCAGCGGAAGTACTAGAACTTGAAGTAACCAAAGAGCCATGCAGGAATCAAACTGACTCAAATCACATTTCAGTGCCACAGAAATACATCAGCACCTATATCACAATAAAAGTCACTGCATATCAGTGGCTTACCATCTGCCTGGGTTCAAATCTGTTTTTTAAACAAACCTAGGACTCCCAGGGTAACAGCCTAGCATGATTACCATGAAAAATCCTGGGAAGAGAAGGTTGTCAGTATGACACCAACCATATCATCTTTCGAGTTTCAACTGGTCCTTAAAAATATGGAGTGTGAAGAGAATAAAAATAAATATATTTAGTGTGTAAAGGATTCTTATTTTTTTTTATAAAACAATCTACCATTAGTTCAATACTCTTGGCCCAACATTACTGGTGAGTGTTTCTCATTTCAGTTAGTGAGAAACTTATGTAATCTACAATGGTTTGCAATACAAAGATATCAAAACAAAACACCACAGAAGCAGAATGTTTGCTGCATGCATCTAAAAAATGAGCCCAATAGAGACTAATCAAGGGTAAGCAGACAATATGATCAGGAATAAATGTAGGTCAAAAAAAAACAAAGCTGCACATTTAGTTTGTGAATCAGACAAAATGGAGCTATGTTGCTATTGTGCTAAAACATATTACTGGATACATGAAACAAATGAGGTCATGGAAGCTTCCCCCAAATCAAAACAAAAATAAATACTGAAATATATCAATAAATGCACAGTGATTACTCACAAGAGTTTGACAAACTTGTCATTATCGTATACACACTCATTCCTATCTAGAAGCCCAATGAACGCAAGATATGCTGATTATACGTTTTTCTGTACTACACCTTGGGTCTTTGATGCTAGACCCCCCCCCCCCCCCCCCTTTTCAGGACTGAAACAGTGTATATTGTACAAAAACTAGTAATGACATTTAAACACAGACTTCTTCATCTGCCTCTCTAACCCCCAATGGAGCACAGACCCTCAACCAACTCATGCCAAGTTGTTCTATCCTTTGCTATCGCATGAAGCTCTCCCCATCTTTTCAACTCCACTCTCTAGCTCCTTTCTCCATGTGTTTTTGGTCTTCCTTTATCCCTATGCCCCTGTGGGTTTCAGTGCAAAGACATTCTAATTATATTGTTCTGATTTTCTCAACGTGTGTCCTGTCCAACACCAGTGTCTTTTCTTCACCGCTTGGTCCACTGGGACTTGCATAGTTCTGTCCTAAAGCTCTACATTAGTGAGTCTATCAAAACATTTCATTCCCTCTATTCTGCACAGGCACCAGTTATTTAATGTTTTTAGTTTATTAGTAACTGCCTTAGTTGTTCTCCATGTTTCCGCCCCATACAACAGTATTTACTTTACATGAGAATTAAAAATGTTTAGTTTAGTATTTCTTTTGACCTCCACAAATTCCCTAGTGCTATGAAAGCTCCTTTTGCCTTCTGTACTTGTATTTTAATATCTCTATCAGTTAACTCATCCTTATCTACATTAATGGCCAAATAGGTGTACGACTGTGGGTTACCATTAAGAGAAACCACATTACTTTTTTGCCTGATTTATTCTCTTTATCTTTGTCTTTCTTTTATGGATTTTCAAACCTAGCTTGTGTGATCTCGCATCAAGTATGTTTCTAGCACAGTGTCCAGACCATTTTACCATGTTTCTCAATGTATCTGGCACAAATTGTTACCACTATCTGTCAGTGTTATTTCTCAGCGATTAAAGATTGTTAAGCTGGCATCTCATCCTACAAATGTTGATTTTATATTTGCAAGTTTTTAAGTGTCTAAATTTAGCACTGGTTGCATAGTATTAGTATCTTATTCTTAGCGTTAACTGGCTGTAAACTTCAGTGGAAAGTTCTGGTCGTTCATTCATTTCTGGTCTTTGATCTTGTTCCAGAACTTGAGATTTGCATGCACATCCATTTTACAGATCTGGCTTTTATATGCATTCTGTCAGTTCCTAGCCTTTCAGCAGACACACTTCAACTTTCAAGTAAACCCTTAATTAGTCGACTCTTAAGACACGCTTGTTAGGGCAGTAGGTCAATCCTACCCCCCACCAATGGGGCCTCAGAACCCACATATGAATTAGTATAAATGTGCTCCTCATATGTTGCTTTGCAGACATGGTTATATTTGGGTGTCTTAATAGCGGTACAAAGTTGTATATGCACATTACTCTTATAAAACATGAAGTTTTAAATAAGAAACGGAACAGTTCTATTTGCACACACACATATATATATATATATATATATATATATATATATATATATATATATATATATATATATATATATATATATATATATATATATATATATATATATATATATATATATATATATATATATATATACAAACACACATACATATATCTGGTAGTCTTAGTTTCAACTTCATAGCAAACGGGTCACCCCATGTTTGCTCTGCTCCTGTGCCACAAAAACACACAGAATGTTTATCATAGTCCCTTGTGGAAAGACTGATAGACTGCTGTCTCAGCATATCTAGCATACACATGCATTAAAGCATAAGGTAGCCATCCGAAGTGCTAACACAAACGGTCCGACATTAGAAATACAGTTCATCCTTGATGGCAGCAGAAGCCACCAACAGATCAGCAGTTGCCCACACAATCAATTTTAATCACACACAGGCACCACCAACAAGCATCGCGACAACAGGCATCGCGGTCGCGCCATTTTCTTAATCTACAATTCACACCACCACGTTGGTCAGAGTCGAAAAAACATTATAAATGAAATCTGTAGCTCACAGTGTCACGCCATGCATTCAGCTCAGAAGCTGGGCGACAAAACTATATCCAGTCTACAAATTGATCAAAACTGCATTGGACGCCCTCCGGCAGAAGCAAAAATTTGCCTTGGCTCCAAACAGTGCCCCTGCCTAGCGTCCATTTTGACCGGAAATTTATATATATATATATATATGTGTGTGTGTATGTAAATATATACATACATACACACAAATATATATATATATATATATATATACATATATATATATACATAAGTGTGTAATCCTACCTTGAGATATAATCTGTGTGTCCAAAAACTGGCCAATCTGGTATAACTCCATGGCCTCATCTAGGACAGTCATCTGGCAGCGTCCTGTGGAAACCATAGCCTGAATTTCACTCAAGCTGCATAAACTGGGACTTCCCTTGAGCACACAGCCCATGTCCACGGTATCCTGGTATAATGCTGTCAGCAACACAAATGCATATCGACGAGGTATCACAGATTCATCAAGTATAATTCTAGAAGGAGTCCTTAAAGTTCTTTCTGTGAGCTCTTCTCCAGATTTAGCTCTCCTGTTTATCAAATTTCTAAAGAATGGTGACCTGGAGGCAATTATAGCTCTGTGACATGGAAATTCAAATCTGGAAGTCCTACTGGGCCCATGAACACTTTGAGCCATGCAATGATAGGAGTCATTAGAGTGATGACAAGAGGATGAATCCCCAGTATCTGAGTCCATGGAGAATATCAGCACAGCATCACTGAGTTCACCAGAGTCAAGTAGTAGTTTCATGTCATGTTCCAAGGCATTAGGAACGCCAAACTCTTTTGCAAGCTGACCAAGCAGTTCAGCATTTCCCACATTTTCTTCAACAAAATCATCTGAATATAAATACCTAAGCAAAGAAGAGAACAGCCCAACATCAATATCTGGGGTTTTCAACTTGACATGAACTTGAGCTCCATACTCAGGCTGCTGTGACAATAATGTTCTGAAAAAAGGACTTCTTGCTGACAGTATGGCTCGATGAACAGGAAAACAGTTGTTTTTGAAGATAAGGTCAACATCTGTACAAAACTTACAGTCATAGAGGCGCGACAGGTCATAACGTAGAGAGTGAGCAGTAGGCCTTGCAAGTGAAGCGGCTGAAGACAGTTCTTTTATCATAGATGATACTTCATATTCCTGAACTAGAACTTTGACATCTTCAACAGGCCACAAGGAAAGCATTTCTCGCATTGTTTTTGCATGGTCATGTGATCTGTTTTGGTGTCGATTTCTAACAAATTTTTTGCGCAACGTTGCAAATTTGGACAAGCACTTTCTCTTCTTCTCCTTAGCTTCAGACTCAGCTTGGTGAAAGGTGTATGCATGAGACAAGCGTGCAAATGTTGAGCCAGATGCAGACTGCATTTTATCTGGTACAGAAACGTGCGCTCCCATTGTAAAGATCCCTGTCAGCTGTAATAAAGAAAGAAATGTTAGAACAGTGGCTAAACATTAAACCAATTAGGACACATTAAGACAAGAAAGCATGCTGGAGAACATTGGGCAAGGAGAGGAGTGAGTCAGAATACCAGAGGAAAAGTCTGACCTGTGTAGGGTTATGATCACATTGGGCCGGGAGTGCAGAGAGTGGCCAGCGAGTGCTACAGAGGTGGAAGTCCAACAGTTGATTCACGACAATTCACGCTCAGGTGATCTGATTATCTATACAGATAGTTCAGTACTGAGAGGAAAGGGAAGTGCCTGGGGATTCGTTGTGAAAGTAAATAGAAAATCTTTAGTGCAGAACAGACTAGCATACGACACCACCACATCTAGCATGAGAATGGAGGTGGAGGCGGTAACTGCAGCTCTCTGGTGGCTAGAGAACAAGATGCATACACATGTCAAAGATGGTGAGAAATCTGAAGACAGGGATGCTTCAAACAGAGCGGCAAGCTTCACTGGGTAGGTCACGGTTAGTGAGTATACTTTGGATCTTTTCTCCAAGCCATGCCGGAATGGTGGGTAATGAACAGGCAGGCAGACTGACCAGATCTGCACTGCACCACTGAGTAGTGAACTGATACATACCAAGGCAATTTGGGAACTAGTAACAGAATCAGTAGAAAAACAAGATTATTATGACATGGAGAACATAAGGCACCTGGATGTAATCAAAGGGTCTGGCCGGCTCACTACACTCAAATGCATAAAACCAGATTGTGATCGATACCATCAGTATTGGAATTCTATTTTGGCTGCTTAAGAAAGGACAGAGGATGCATGAGAATGCCCCTGAGTGCTGTGATGTCAATGTTGGACTCAACTCAACTTAAAAGAATTAGGACAGTGGTTAAATGTGAAACAATCTAAAGCATTATTTCAGCTTTATAAAAAATAAAAAGCTAAAGTGTTTTACATGAATGGTATTCATGTCTACATCATTTGATAAACTGGAGCCCTTCACAGAACTTAAAATAGAACATTTACCGCTCGCCTGTTTTGCTTATTTTTTTTTAAATAAATACAAATGCATACATAAAAGAAATACCATATTTTAATTAATAAATTAGTTTAGAATAAATAAAATCAACAAAATACAGTGGTACACCTTGAGATAGGCACTTAATCCATTCCAGATCCTTGCATGTATATCAAACAGGAAGAATACCGAATGAATATTCCCATAAGAAATACAGGGAAAATAATTAATCCATTCCCACTTGAAATAAATCATATTGTTACTGACATATACTTTAAGGGGGTTGTATAAAACAATTTATATACTGCTTAATACTAAAATACATAGATACAAAAGCAATCTGATAAAATAAATAAACATTTAACCTCATTTTACCTTCCTCAAAGAGATGAGTGCCTACCAGGATGGTGTTGAGAAAGGAGGAAGAGGTGCAGATGTTATTGTTTAGAAGGCGATTTTTCTGCCAATGTAACTTCAGGAATCTACAATTTTGGTGTTTTTTTTTTCCTTAACTGGATCTGGCAGAGGCTTATCAGGTTTGAGTTTTACTAAAAATCTGCCTAAAGAACTTTGCTTCTGCCTTCTCCTCAGGATGTTTTGGATATGTGACATTGTCTGGTCATTCCAGACAATACCAGACAATGCTACTACAGGTTTTTTGTGGGAGATTTTTTGAGGAACAGCTCTCTTGATGATATCCCTTCATGCCACCATTTCAGCCCATCCAGCATCATCTCTCTTGGTCTGCCTCTACCCCCTTTTCCACTGATCTTTCCAATTGTCACGATGTTCTCCAATGTCTTTTTTCTTAAACTCATAGTCTGTCGTGTCACGACTAAACCGCCTGTGTAGCAATCAGATACCTTCTCGACATTCTGACCATGGACTACATGATCACAATTTGGAGGCTTGTGCATTCCTGAAGATAAGCTACATCTGAAAGACCCTTTGCACCAGGTGCTCTTCAGAAAACAGGGCAAAAGACTAAAACGGGGTAAATCATGGCTGGTTAGGGCTGAGGATGATATCAAGCAGGTCTGCAGGCTTACAGACATACACCCAGGCAAGGAATGGATAGCTGTGTCTAAATCACCTAATCACACCTTTGTGTCATCACGCGTTATAAGAGTTGCCAAGAGCAGAATCATGTTGCTGTCAACACCAAGGTGCATGCGCTAATCACTGACAATTTAGATGAGGTAGATGAGGTCTGTTGTACGAGGAAACAAGAATACATGGGCAATCACAGCTTACTCTAAAGGTAGAACAGAAAGCCAGCTTCTCTATGACTAACAGCAGCAAGAGGATGGAGGTAATGGCAGTGACATAAGTTTTCATCTGGCTGGAATCATAGAACTATTCATATGTGTGTGACCTAATTCTACAGGCATGTTCCAGCGGGTCAAAGTAGGTTCTGTGCCCAGACAGTGGACTGAGTTATTTAGAAACTTCCCTGTGCATGCGGTAACCTTCATATTTGTCCCAGTGTATGCAGGTATTTTTGGCAATGAGAGAGCTGAGAGACTGGCAAATTCTGCCCTAGTTGCAGATAGCCAGTCTATGAATCTCACCAATATTGTTAATGCCCTTAGAGAGGTAGGATGACCCAAGGGTTTTGGGAGCACCATGTCCTCATCACTACTAGAATATGAGAATTGAGAGTAAAAATCGACACAGCCAAGCATGAGAGGCACACCAGACATTTTTGAAGTCTTGTTATCCAACAGAGGAATGGCACTATTAACTGCATGACATTGATATAGATGTCCGTAGGGGAATCTAAGCACCTATGGATGTGTCTGGAGTGTTGTGAAAATAACCTAACTCATAACTTAAAGATTCAGAAAACCAAAAAGACTGGAAAAGAAAGCAAATCTTACACATTAAATATATAGAACGTTACTAGTTTAACATACTACACAATATATTATAGATATCCGTGTTTTCTTTGCATTCAGCTTGACAAGGAATGTGATGAAATGCGAAGTTTGTAAAGAGATATAATACCATTCTTGGTTGTTCTACTTTTCCAAGGAGCTTAGTTGCCAATAAGAAATAATTCATGGACTAGCATGTTTAAATTCATGGAGTGCCAATGTCTGTTTACTTACTGTGTTTTATTAAAGGGACAATGGTGAACAAGTCTGGTGACTTACTTAAATGTGTTCTCTTTTTTAATGTGGCTGCAAGGCATAAACACAACATACACACCCTTGAAGGAAATTCAACAAGTAAATGGTCAGTCGGCACAGAGAATACAAACATGTAGACATGGATTAGGATACCTGAAGAGGAGATGGGCACCACTAAGCAAACAAATTTTGATGGATAATCCACATAAGAAAACAACAGTTAAAACTTTACAAATATCCAGGGAGCATTGTCTTTTCAGTATGTAGAATGTTAGAACCTTATATGCTTATGGAAAGGTTAAAGAATTATCACACAAATTTAAAAGATATAATCTGGATGTGCTGGGCCTAGCAGAAATTTAGTACAACGGACAGGAAAACAAACACCAGCATGCAGTGAGTTTTATTGTTCACACAAAACACAGAACAGACACTGTCATAAGTTGCACTCCCATAAACTGATTACAGTGTGAAAGTAAATGAACATCTGCCAAAGATGAAGGAGGTATTATCCAGTGATTAAATAACATTTAAAATATATGATACACCTGCCAAAGATAAAGTATATGGTGTGATACTCACTGATACCAGCCTAAGATTAATTAAGTATATGACCTATGTGGTATGAGTGTGCTGATAGCACTAGCCTACCTGCCAAAAATGAAGTAATGTAGTACTGTATGTTGCAATATTCAATCATATAATAAATAATACTAACTATACTGCCAAAGATGAAGTGTATTAGTAGTATTACTATAAGCTCCTAGTGTAATCTGTCGAAGAAAAAGTGTTGCCGTTGCGTATGTTGGAATACCTGCCAAACATAAATTAAAGTGACACCTGCCAAAGATTACTTTAAAATTATTACTCATACTGACTACACTATCGTGCGTTAGTTTTCCAATTTTGGCTGACCATTGATTCAAATAACGATGAAGTCTTCATTGAAGATGAAGCAACTTTCTTACTTTCTCATACAAACAAATCAATAACTAACGCTAACGTAGCCATGTAGTATGTAGAGTGTTGTTATATGTATCCATTTATCTAATGTGATGTAATATTACTCAATTAAATAATATAAACTTACTTTCGGTGACAGTTTACATCATTTTGTTTTCTTCCGTTTTAATTGTCAAGTAGTATTCTAAAAAAAATTAAATCTTAGAAATCCACAGGCAACCCAGAATCGGAAGAGGAAGGTCTTTTTTTTTTTTAAATTTTTACTCTGTTAGTTTAAAAATATGAATGTACTAATTCATGTTTTAAAAACTTTCCGTTCATCAGTTTTGTTTTTTCTTCTCCTCAAGTTTATATCCATATTACTACATATTTTATTCATCATTTTGTTGTTCACATTTGTAACTGATTAACCCGTCGCCATGTTGACTTGATGTGGCCAGATGTTTTTAGCAACAAACGTCAAACTTCAGATACCTTTCAATGTTTGAGATCACTATCGTGTGCTTTGCCAAATGTTTGCGGCTGTCTCTCTGCAGATCTTCGTCCTTAGTGTTAGGAGTTAAATCTATCAATGAAGATCACTATGTTACTGTTAGACCATACAGCAAAGCTTCGCTCTGTCTAACTCTTCTGCTACTAATCTTTCTAGACGTCGTCTTGATGTTTTTCTCCTC